AAATGAAAGATCTTGGAAATGCATCTTTTTGTTGGGTATACAAATTCATCGGGATCGCTCCCGTGGTATACTTGGATTATCACAGACAGCCTATATTGATAAAGTGCTAAGCAGATTTGGCATGAAGGATTATGCACCAGGGGATACACCCATTGCAAAAGGGAATAAATTCAGTTAGCTTCAATGCCCAAGAAATGAAGTTGGAAGCAAGAGATGGATAAGATTCCTTATGCATCGACAGTAGGGAGTCTTATGTATGCTCAAGTTTGTACGCGTCCGGATATTGCGTACATTGTTGGAATGCTTGGTAGATATTTAAGTAATCCAGGAATGGATCATTGGAAAGCAGTGAAACGGGTTATGAGGTATCTAAAAAGAATATGATAATATATGCTCACATATTAGAGATCTGATTATTTAGAGATCGTGGGGCATTCCGACTCTGATTTTGTTGGTTGCCTCGATAGTAGAAGATCCACTTGAGGCTATATTTTCATGTTAGCTGGAGGAGCTATTTCTTGAAAAAGTGTCAAACAGTCACTTATAGCTTCTTCAACAATGGAAGCAGAGTTTATAGCTTGTTATGAGGCTTCAAATCAGGGAATATGACTGCAAAATTTTATCACAGGGCTACATATTGTTGATGACATTGAGAGATCATTAAAGATAAATTGTGATAATAAAACAGCTGAGTTATATTCCAAGAATAACAGGAGTTCGTCAAAATCAAAGCATATTGACATAAAGTTTCTTGTTGTGAAAGAAAGGGTTCAGAGTTCTCAAATTTCTATTGAACATATTAATACAAACTTTATGATTGCAGACCCACTTACAAAAGGATTACCATCTAAAGTATTTCATAAGCATGTGGCACGTATGGGTGTAATCTGTTTTGATGATATGCTAGCTTAGTGGGAGTTTGTTTGTATTGTTCAATTATTATGAACTTATTTTATGATCAGACTAAAGTATTGTTATTTTGGTTATTGAAAACTCTGACATAAAGTTATTTGATTTCAATTACAGTTTAGCATAAAGTATTGAATTTTGGTTATAATTTTTTTTTTAGTTATAAAAATGGACCAGTTGAAAATTGTCATGATTTGAGATCACATTACATGAAATTTTCATGGTACACATCCATACTTGATCTATATCGTTAATTATATTAATATAGTGACCATTGATGGGTCTTGTTACGAAGAATGTAACAAAGGTCGCTTTGATTCTATATTGATATGATTGATGGACCAGATTGTCTAGAGATGCTATTTTAGAAAGATAGCAAATATTGAGCTTTTACGGTATTTTAGAATGTATAATTATATGTATATATGTGGCCCAAGTGGGAGATTATTGGGAAATTTCCATGTGTGGGCCAATATATTTTATACATATAAATAAAGAATTATACATTAGACGCTATCTAAAATTAAGCCAATTAAATTCGTGATCTATTTAAGTATTAAATTATTATTTGGCTTATGTGGCATCTCAATTAAATTTTGTTGGGTATTTATTTTATTTTAATGATGGACTGAAATAAAATATTTACACTTTAATTATATAAGGGTCGTGGTCCCCAGTTTAAGCGGTGAAGTTCTCATTTCCCTCATTTCCCATCTTGAGTGAAAAGAAGGGGTCTCTCGCTCTCTTGGAGAACACCGCTCTAAACGTGGAAGACCGAAATCCTCAACTCTGCATTTCAATGGATTCATGTACGCTTTCGAAAATTCTTCTCGATGATTTGGCATGTCTTTCGGAGACGATCGAATTGATTTTTTTGTCTCCATTAAATCCTAACAAAACTATCATATTATATCTCAATATAAGCATACCAACTTGCTCAAAATGAGTATATCTGCCACATTTCAAAAGTTACATGATGGAAATAATCTAAATATTGTGATAATACATTTTTAATCAATTTTAAGAGATAGAATGTTAGAGAAATAAAAATAACTAAATATTAATGTTGGGTAAATGTTACTTACTACGATTAGAGCAACTTTTGTAATTGGATTGTGATGAAAACCTACCATGATATCTCTTCGAAATGAAGGCATATATATGCTAAATGGAGTACTTCAAAAAAATTTGAATCTTTATGTAGAAAAAAAAAACTAATAAAATGGAGTAAGTGATGCGAATGTAAGAGGATATTGAGGCCTATTAGATAGATCCATATGTTGAGTACTTGAAGACAAGAATGATCCTCCTTATAGTGTCGCCTATTACATGTTTAAGATTAAGAATGCTTAGTGCATATTAATTAGAGACGAGATTTTCAGAAGATTGATAATGTTGCTAAACATGTGATGCATAAAAGTGAGTGAGGTGAAGAAAATATTGAAATTGGCTCACTCAGACTAGTGCGATAGCTATTCCGAAGAAAGGACACTAGCACACCAAATACTAAGTAAAAAAGTTTGAATAGAAGATTCAAGAGAACCTTTGGGGAGGTCAACCCATTCTTAAATAAATGTTACAGGATGAACTCACCTTCAACTAGGAATTTTTCACAATCGTGATGACTCAAAAAACTTACGATTCACCGCCACCTCAGCCTCTAGATTAAGAGCCTCTTGATGCATCGAGTCAACATCCTCACATACAGCTTCAAAAGAGCTCGCCTTCTCCGCTATCACGATCAGACCTGATTTGACTGGATACCACATAGGTCATGTCGTGCCCGACCATGACAATAACTAATAACTCAACCCAATATCAAGTTGGAGAAGTACTGAGAAAATTAAACTTTCAACATATAGCCAATACTAAATACAATATAAAGTTGAAAATATATATATATATATATATATATATAATACATTTAAATAGCTATTGAAATTGTTTATCAAAATAGCCATCAAGCTTCAACTTTCGGTATACATAGTATAGTGCACATAACACCTAGAAAAATCCCTTCTTAGATACATAATAACTCTCTTGCTCCAACTTTTCATATACATTAATTAGCAATATCCATTCTTGTTGCCAAAAGCATCCTTTCTCTCTGCCAATTAAATTCCTTATCTCTGCCAACAAAATCTCTTCTCACCACATATTCAAATATTTTAATCAATTAAACACATATTTCAATGTAATAAAATATAATTGAACTAAATTCATAATTTATCAAAATGTCTTGACAGCCAACAACAAAAACTTTACAGATAAAAAATTCATATTTTCAAAAAAGATCAAATTATCCAAGATCATGTATAATAATATTCTAAAGCTTTAATTGAACTAAAGTACTAGTTTTAGATGTTAAAATAAAATTTTTAATAGGTAAAAATTATTATTTTTGAAAATCACCCGATGAAAAATCTTAAATAAAGACTCAAAACGACCGGAATAGTCATACTGATAACATATCAAAGTTACACATATAAAATTATCAGAATCCAATAAAACTGTATTTTTGTAAAACCAATTATAAATTTGATAAAAAATATCAAAACACCAAATTATTGAAAATTAAGATAAGCAAAATATAACCTATCTCGATCTAGATAACTTTAAGAGCATGGTCAATAACTAAAAATGATTCAGAGCAACTCAATTAGACTTTCCATCTAAATAAAACCCTCTCTATCTCTCTCTAAAATGGTTTCCCAATAAAGGAAATGAAAAAGAATAGTGAATTTGGATATTTTAAATATTAAAATTTATTTTAGCATTGCGAAACCACACGACGTTGGCCACGACGCCACCTTACAGAATTCACAACCTCGCCTCCCATACCACGCGTTGGAGCACTAAGTTAAATGTAAATTTTTTAGGCTTCAACACTAGAGTGCCAAAAACACAACGTAATGACACTATAGGAAAATTTTCAAATTTCATCAACATGCAAACAAACTCCTAAAATCCATTGCAGAACACATGCATACCTTCACACATGCACAAAATTCTCTCAGACATGAGCAAAAGAGTTCAAATACAAGAAAAATAATATGTTACCTAACTTCTAGTCAGGACATACCGATTTGAACGTAACTCTAAATATGGAGGTCTCACATCTATGACCATGATTCACTCCTTTTCCTTGGACTTGACCAATGAAGGCTCCTCCTCACAGCCCTTTACTTGCCCCAACATAACCTCCAAGAGATATTGTGTTAAGACCTTTAGCACCTGGACCGCTCATTGGAGGTGAAGTAGACTGAAAAATTTATGAGGGAAATATTGTAGGGCTGAGTAATTCGAAAGAAAAGGATTGTTGGGCTTATTATACTATGTAGTCAACCTTAAATGACAACGCAGTAGTCCTTGCCCTAAGAGGAGCTTCTTAGGGGACTACATCCTGCTTATTTGCCACATCCTCCACTCGGCCCACTGAGGTCACGAATGTCATATTAAGTGAAAGATCATACAATGGATTTTATTTATCAAAAAATGTGAGGGAAACTTTTATGAGTTGAGCATAAACACCCTATGGAAAAACCAGTAAACCAAATGTCCATTTGCTAAAGGATAAGATCTCAAATTCACTTAGCATATGAGTTAAAAACTCACCCACATTAATGTGAATTCTATATTCACTGGAAAGTGATGACATCGAGCCCCTATATATGAATAACTAAAAAAAAGGATATCTTCTTACCTTAAATGATGAGTGTCGCCCAACCTCTTTCAAAATGGGATCTTGACTAGTCGCTAATCCCACATGTAAGTGAAATCATACATAATGAGCTAACAAGTTTGATATTTTGAATTGTTCTCAAAACATGATTATGCGGGTTGAGAGAACTATCATACTCGCATGAGGGAACTTTTAAGGGTTCGTTTGGGACGGCTTTTTTATTGCTTTCTAAAACGGAGTTTTAGTACAAATTTTTTTATTTTTGTACTAAAACTCCGTTTTAGAAAGCAATAAAAAAACCGTCCCAAACGAAGCCTAAGACTCATGTTCAACCATCTTAGGCATTATAATAGTTGCTTTGTGTATCAAGTCAACTACTTAGGAATTATGTCGACCACCATGGGGGCCATCTAAATTCCTTAGTTGGCATAGCATGTTTAATCCACCTCTTGATGTGGGTTATCTAATGCATAACTGAAGCATATAAATCTCAGTAGTAGTTTAGTTATTTTTTTTGTTTTTTTATAAACCGTCAATCGACTTGTCACTGCTGTTCCAAAGATTTAGGGTTTTGGAGTACAGAAGGAAATTGCAGCGCTGACCCGGATAAGTTTTCAAAATGTGTTCTTTTATTGTTAGTAGTTTCGTCCGAATATAAACAGCTTGGTCACTCTGTTGTTCATCGTCTCCCCATGCTATGCTCCATTCCAGCATCTCGAATTCGCAGGAATCCTATATTTCCCGTCTGTACTTCCAGCTTTTACTTCTCCGGCGCTGTCGTTACTCAAGTTTTCATCGAGGAGAGCTCTCAATCCGAGATCGATAACAAAACCCATCGTCAAAATTCAACCTTTTGCCCCTCTCCTCCAAATGTTAGGCCAAATCATAATAAAGTCCGCACTCGGTGTTGCGCTGTTAGAGATCAGAATAAGACATCCCACCCTGCACAGACTTGGGCTCGGCAGAAGATGCAGGAATGCGCCAGGGCGGGCAATCTTCTCGAAGCTGTGCACCATCTCAATCTTTCGAACTCAACCATTCTCGATTACAATGCACTTTTCTACTGTTATCTCAAACAGGGTCGTATTTCTGTGGACCAGTTAGTGCAAGTCTTTTTTGGGATGAAGAGATTTGGCCCATTCCCTAATGGTTGGACATTCAATATACTTTTTAATGGATTATGCGCTTTAGGATTATTGCAAGATTCTTTCTTTGTGATAGAAGAGATGCGTCTCAACAAATTTGTTCCTTCTTTATCTATTTTGACGAAGCTATTGAAGAAATCTTTGAAGTCAGGTATCTTTGATCTTTCTCATAAAGTTATTGAACTAATGTTTAGATACGGCTATAAGCCAACACTTCCAGCTTTGAATTCTTTGATTTCTGGTTTTAGTAGTGATGGAAACATTCTTGAGGCCAATTCCTTATTTTGGATGTTAATTGCGAAAGGCTTTGCTCTCAATGTGTACACATACAATCCCATTTTATCCAGCTTATGCAAGTCTGGGCAAATATCTAATGCTCTAGCTTTCTTATGTAGTTTGAGGAAAAGAGGATTTGTTCTCAATGCGTATTCTTATACATCATTGATTTTTGGATTCAGTAGAGAAGGTTTGTGGGAAGATGCTTATTTTGTTTTGGAGTTGATGCAGAGCAATGGCTGTTTGCCAACTGCTGTAACTTATACTGTACTCATTAAATTTCTTTGCAAGTATAATTATATTGAGGATGCACTAAGAATTTATGGGGTGATGGATAGTAAAGGCTGCAGTCCAGATCAAATCACTTATAATGTATTGCTTCATGCCCTTTGTACCCAAAATAGAATTTTTGATGCCAATAAATTGGTGGAAGACATGTTGGAGAAGGGCTTTGATCCTGATAAATTTACCTATTGCACTCTGGCTAATTGTATGTTGAAAACTGGAATAGTTAGGAAATCTCAAGAGCTTCTCCTTAAAGTACTATCAACTAACAGTCATTTTGATGTTGCTACTTGGAATGTTTTCTTCCATTGCTTATGTTATGATAATCGGGCGTTGGAGGCGTCATCATTGTTGATGCATAAGGTAGGAGAGGGTTTTGTCCCCACCAATGTGACTTGCAACACTATTTTGAAAGGTCTTTGCATGGAGAAGAAACTCAACGAGGCATTAACGTTTTTGGATCGAAACGAGTGGGCTAGAGAGGGGCCTGATATAATTTCCTTCAATACTATTTTATCTGCAGCATGCAATGAGGGTTACTCTTCAATGATACGGAGGATCTTTTATCGCATGGAAGCTGAAGGAATTGAGGCAAATGTTATCACTTTGACCTGCTTAATGAAATACTTTGGAAAGACTGATAATTTATTTAGTTGTTACAGTATCTTTACGTACATGATCAACAATGGTTACAATCCTACTACAGTAACTTATAATGTTCTTCTTGACATACTTTGCAAGAAGAACATGCTTGAAAATGCTTGCAAAATGTTTATTAGATTCAAAGGCAGTGGGTCATTTCCAGATACTACTTCATATAATATTCTGATACATGCTGCAATTGGAAAAAGTGGCTATCTCTCAGTTATGTGCCTTTTAGCTAGCATGTATAGATGGGGTTTATCTCCTGATGGCGTCACATATGCGTTATTAAGTTCTGGCTTATGCAGGTTGAGAAGTATACGTGCCGCACTTCGCTTGGAGGATGTGATGATTGAACAGGAAGTGAAACCAAGTGTATCTTTTTACAATAACATCATGGATGCAATGTTTAGGGAAGGTAGATTGGGGGATGTCTACTGGTTAGTGCATAAGATGAAAATTTATGGGATTGAACTAAATGAAGCTTCCAGTAAAATTTTCGACCGTGCACTTTCGAAAGGGGGTAGGAAGAGATTTCCTAAAGCCATGATGATTCTTGGAAACCTCATAAGAAAAGGGAAAAATCCATCTGACAAGGATAAAAGTTGAAGTTTGAAATCTTACATTGCTTATGGCTTTTCTGTTGCAGTCTTATATATGGGGACCATAAAGTTGTCGAGTGAGGCCGATATTGCAAAGAAGAGCATCATGGTACAAACTTCTCTGTTTATTGCGTTCTGTTCATGTTTTATTAAATTATGATTCTGCAGAATCTCGACAATGATTGCTTTTTACGAATAACTGTTTAGGTAACTGTTATAATCTTACTCAGCGGATCAAAAGTCTCTTATTTTTTTCTATCTGTAGGAAATATGATTACAATTATTTTGCCTTAATTAATGAAACCAAATCATAAGTATCTCTCCTTTTATAGAGATTTATTTTTCTTTCAAGAAGTCAAAATCTTTAAAATACCTTTTTTGCTATTAGCAACGTCTTCATTTATCTATTGGTGAGGCTGTACATCTTTAAGGTGGTGCCAAATTAAATGTAGTAAAATAATGGTCAGTGAAGGCCTGTTGCATAATAATGTAAGGTCTACTGCTTGTTTCTTTCTATTCAAATACAGCCCCATATGGAAACACATTTAATTGAAACTTGTAAGCTTTATTCGGGATAACATTTTTTTTGTGGGAATGGTGAGTTCCTGGATAAAAATTTGATATAGGTTGGATTTGAACCCAAGCCTTGGCAACAATTTCCAAGACTTTACCAACTAAGCTAGTGGCTCCCTTGAAAGTTGCATTTTGCATTAATTAAAAGAATAAAAAGAGTACAAGTGAGTTCAAACTTGTATGGAGTCTCTTATGAGAGACCTCCCTCAACAAAACAAAACCAAAAGAGGGAAGAACGTTATATTTTGTATCACTCCATACACAAAAACTAAGTGGCACCCACTGGAGACAATTTTTTCTTTGATTTATATTTGATTTATAACGTATAGATTGCCTTAGGAAATGGTTTTTTCATTCCCACGTGGCTTTGCAAATTATAATTTTTTCATTTGTTCCCAAAAATGGAGGGGTTTTCTGATGGTAAATAAATACTCATCAATGTGCTTAACAATAAAAATCTTACTAATTTTTCACATTGTTAAAGAAATTTTAATATTTTAGTATCTCATGAACTTTAATTTTCTATTCTAAACCTCTCAGAACGGATGCTTTGTGGCAAGATAAGGCTTATGGAGCAGGAAAGTTGGTTTTCTGCACATTTTATACTATCTGAGTAGCAATTTGATCCATTACAAAATTAACTAATAATGGCCATTTCATTCTCTTCATGTAGGTGAAATTAAGTTGACTATTGTGTTATGATGACACCATAATAAGCTGATGTGTGGAAATATCACATCAAATAATTTCTTTTGAATATTTGAAAGATTATGTATCGGATGAGGGCTTCATGCTACGAGTTCTATTGGCTTTAACATTTTAGTAGCCTTCCAGAAGCCTGATATCCCTCAATAGAATATTGTATCTATTTGGAATTTTGGCATGAGATTGTTTTTTTAGTCATTGAAGTTGATTATGGTTTATGGGAATATAAATTTCTCAAAAGTTGCCAATCTCTCAAGTATAAATCCCATCAATGCTACCCATTAATTTCTTTATTTTTTTCAGAAACACTAACTCTATATGCAACTTCAAGCTTTGATTATGACGTCTCCAGTACTTCTCTGAATAAATGTCGAACAAGTACATTTGACCTTATAAAAGATTCTATGGTTTCTATCCTGCCATATATGCCAGATAGTTGGTGCAACTGCTACACTTTGATTCTTTAATTCATAGTATTTACTTTCAGTGAAACTTGCTAGCAGATCCTGTACTTTTCTTTGGCACCCTACCCCACTGCAAAGTTTTTTTTTCAAATTCCTCTACCATTAGTGCTAATAACTGTGCAATTATTCCTTTCACCTTTATTGTCATTATAGTCTTCAAACTCAAGCTAACATCTACTATGTCACTTTGAGTTTGCGAGGAACATTTTCATATCTAAATAATCACATTTGTTTGGTACTGCTCCTAAAATAATTTTTGAGTATAAAATTTTCTAATTCAAGAAATTTTTGTACTCGAAAGCTGTTTTAGAAAACAACAAAAAAGTTGTCCCAAACAAAACCTTATTCATTTACATTGTGTTTTTTTATTGCTCTATTCAATTCTCTCCCCACATCATGTGATAAAGGCTTGATGTTGTTGTTCTATTAAATTCTCTCTCTTCCTCTCTCTCTTTATATATATATATATATATATATATATCATATGAGCTATCAAGTCAAGATGTAGTCCTTTATACCAATCAAAGCAAATTATCACATTTGAATGCCTTCAGATTATTAATTCCCCTGGAATATTTTGTGAAATAGAAGTCTAATTTCAAATACTGGAAAAAAAGAAAAAGAAAAAAAAGGATGCCCTCCCCTTTATAAAGAAAACTGAAGGTTCATAAAATTCAAGGTTTTGAGCTTCTGCAGAAAATCCTTCTGCTGACATTATTTCCCAATTCCTATTCCTGGTAATTTCTATTCATTGTTTCTCAAACTTCTCTTCTTTCACCCAGGTTTGAATTCTTTTAGCATTCTAAACGGGATCTAATGCTTTCCGAAATCTTTCTGCAGCAATCTCCCTGCAACCAGCTGTGTGGAACGCCATCCTTGAGAGCATTATTAAAATCCTTAACAAAATTTGGGATTAAGCAATCAGCCATGAACAGAAGCAGCTTACTGCTATTACTGTTGATATTGGTGTTTCCATGGACTGCTAAAGTCAATGCTTTTCAGAATTCCAATCTGTCATGGTATGTGTGATTGATATTTGTCATAAATTTTATAAAAAAAAAATTTAAAATGTATTTTAAAAAATCTTCAAATTACTTTGAGATAATTAAAATATAAATGTTGATTGTTTTTTCTATATTGCACTCAATGAAAATTTTTATCAGATATCCTTATCAATATGTGAAATTCCTTTATCTAAAGATATGCCATGTTGCAACCTCACTGGAAATGGGATTTTCTGTACTTCCTCTGCTGAAAATCTCTTGGGCCAAGTGTTTCAGCAGATGGGTTTTACTGGCTGGTTGCAGAATCTTACTTCGTTGGAAGATATTTTGCTGCTATGGATCCTTTGGCTGGCAGATGGTTCTGCTGATTGATCTCAATATCAATTATGATCTCTTGGATTGTTAAATATTTTTTGGGTTTTTCTTTTTATGGGCTGACTGAGTCCCTATTGTTTTGAAAAAAATTATTCTGTGCGGACACCGGACGTTATCCGGAGACAAATCAGGGCGCACCATGTCACCTTTTTGCTGTGTTTCATGGCTATGTACTGCATGATGCAGCACACTCTGATTCGCCTCCGAACGGTCCGGTGTCCGCACAAAACAATCTCTCGTTGGTTTGTATTTTGGCATAATCTGCTTATTTCATTTATGAAATTTGGACAAGGCCGTTAATTTCCCCCAAAACATAAAGATTGGTCTGACTTGTTTGGCAATGCTCATCAATTTCCCAACAGATATTGAAGATTGTTCATAGATTATTGTGGGATGGTTTTGAGGAGATTTCCCAATAGATTAATAAATTATTCTACTTCTATTCTGTTTTCTTTTCTTCTTTCTTTTGAGAGATTGAGTAAATTTCAATTGCTCAATTAGGATTGAAGATTCTATCAAAATAACATCGTTAAGTTTAAATATGACAATTGTGACAATATTAGGGGTGGTTCTAAAGGTGACAACAATGTGATAATACTAAGTCATAACTCTTATATTTTTAATAAATATGAATACAAATAACAAATAGTTGAGTACCTTTTTGACTGATGCTACAGCAATTTATCCACAAAATTTTTTATTTAGTATTATAAGACCCCTTAAATTTTTTTATTTTTTTTCCTTAAAAGATTTTGGTGTTTCTTTTGACTTTTCTTCTTATAATGTTGTGTTAAATGAAGATGTCACCAAGGACTTCATTTTCGATAATTTTTTTACTATATTATTATTTTAATATCATAACAGAATTTATTGTTCTGCTATTGCTTTTTCATTTTAATATTTTTTGAGCTAGGAAATTGTTTTGTACAATAATTTTAAAAAAAGTTATATTTTTTACAATAACTTTGCAATCACTTTTATAAAAAGTTATAGCAGTCCCAAACGGATCTTTAGATTTGTTTGGGATAGTTTTCTTACTGCTTCTTAAAGCAGTTTTCTAGTACAAAAGTTTTAATTTTTGTACTATAGAGCTATTTTAAGAAGCAATAAGGCTTAGTTTGGACGGCTTTCTTTATGTTTCTTAAAACGATGTTTTAGTTAAAAAATTTATGTTTTTTACAAGGAAGCTGCTTTAAGAATCAATAAAAAAATCGTTACAAACGAAACCTTAATATTCATTTGGAACAACTTTCTTATAGTTTTGCTTTTCAGATCATAATCATAATTTTTTGCTATAGACAATTGCTTTTTTATTATATTACTGTCAATAATTTTTTTGAGCTAGGAAGTTATTTTTTATCATAGCTTTAAAAAACTTATTTTCTCAATAATAATTTTACAATCATATTTATAAAATACTGTACTTAGTAGAACAAAAAGTTGATCAATTTTCTTTGGCTTGCATTTGAAGAGCTCATTTGGTTAGTTGTGTTTGGAAAATATACTATCTTCCTTGTTAAAAAAAAAAAACGAAAAATCATTTAAAAATATTTTAAAGATATTATTGAAAGCATAAAATATATATTATTTTTTAGCTGACTACAATCAAAGAAAAAAAGCAAAAAAAAAAAAAAAAAAAAAAAAAAAGCGTCACAGAAAAACTAAAGCAAGTAAAAATAACCAGCACACGGGTCACATGCAGAGCATCACAACACAGCACAGAAAAGAAAAGCAGAACAACAACCTAACCTAAAGCTAATAGTCGTGTCTTATCAAACTCATCTAAGTGTGTGAAAGCTGTGTGGTTTTGATAGGTCCTATATGGGTCTTTAAATATT